TGATGACTCTCAGAAACCATTTACCAGGCGGCTTTAAATCACAGTCAAGAGATAGATGCTGCTTCAGTAACTCAGGTATCACAGTTAAGAGAGGTGAATATGCTTTGTGAGACTGTGTATGTTGTGCTTCAGGGAATCTTTAGTCTGAGGATACAGAGATGGGTTCTGTGGTCTTTGAATACTGTATAAAATTATATAAAAGTTTTTAGACAGAGAGTGCATAACTTCTATCGAATTCTCAAAAATGTCTATGGTATAAATAATTTAAGAGATGAATGCTAGGTTTCCAGGGGAAAAGCTGTGTAGGAAATTACAACAAAATTAGCTCCATCATATTATATAATGGGTACTGATGGCTTGAAAGTGATTTGGAATGTTGATCTTGAATCTATTAGATGGTGTTTGATTTTAACTTCTAACCAATTTTCTAGTCAAATTATAGTGTTTTAGTAATGTACCCACTCTTACTGTTCTGACTCATCAGTTCAAGTCAATAGTATTTTCACAGGCATATATATATATATATATAATGTGTTTTATATATTATATATGTAATATATATCTTGTAGTCTCATTGTTTAAAATACTTATTTAATTATACAATAGTAACTACTGATTACTTGATAAACTTTCAGAATTTACCTAGCATTAGCAAGGCCAAACCTAACAAAGCTAACTTAACAGTTTTAAGATGACAGATATAACAGAAAAACTTATTTATATCCCCTTCTCCTTTCAAAAATTACCACCATATAATATCAAGAACAGAAATGAACATAAATTTTCCCTGTCATGGACCCATAATGGTAAAAGGAAGAAAATGGAGAGAGGATGGTTCATAACATAGCAGAGATGAGCAAGGACACCCCAGGTGCCCTCAGGTCTGAGAAGGTGGAAGACAGGCCACACATAAACAGTGCCCCTGAGAACCTAGCAGGGTTCTCGGACACCACAAAAATGGGGCCAGGTTACCAATGTGCAGTAACCAGAGTTTTTGCTGGAGAAACTGAACCCTAGACTTCAGGACACCAGCAAAAGGAAAGTTAGGGTGAGGTACACATTGAAAATAACAGCATTAAATGAAAGCCTACAGCCTTCTAGGTGGGTAGCCATATCTCTCTTTCCTCAATCCCAACACTTGTGTTTATACCATCTCCAGCCAGCAGATTGGAGAGTCCAGAGAAAGGGAGTTTAGATACTGAGATTTGGGGATGTCTAGTAAAAGGCCAGCTGGTCACCTATAGTGAGGCCCAGCAACCTACAGGCACCAGTCATATCTACTGTATCTAAATTTCAGTGCAGTGTCACTGTTTAAAACACTTACTTTCATAGTACCATATTAACTACTGATTACTTGATAAATTTTCAAGACAAATATGAGTAGTCTTAAATATGCGTAATCTGCCAAAGATTGCCAGGCATTTGAGGGAAACACAGAAAAGAAGTTGGTCAGAGGAAACAGGTGATTCAAGGAGGAAGCACAAAGATCAGAAATTGTTACGAATGTCTTCAGAAAGATAAGGATAATGGATTCATGGGAGAAGAATAGCATGTCACTTTAAAAGGAGCAGAAAAATGCTTATAGTTTAAAAACTCCTAGAAAGAGGAAACAATTATATAAGAAAAGGGAAAGAAAAAATCAAGAAAAACAAGAAAAATCAATACAAGAAATGCAACATTCCTCCAATTGGAGTTCCATTCAAATAGCACAAAAAAAGATACTGAAGGAAAATAAACAGAACAAAAAGATTAGAAGAACATTATACTGAAGAAGTAAAGATTGGGTTTACTGTGCAAATTGAATTGGAAAGAATTCAAAACAAAGTGTATCTTTGTGATATTGATGAATCACCAGAGGAAGTTCTAAAAGAAAGAAAATCAAATAGCATTCAAAGTATTAGGAATAAGGATGGTGTAATTGTATATTCTTCTCAGAGGCAACTCAGGAAGCTAAACAACAGTGAGCCAGTCCCTCAAAATTCTAAGTGAAATTATTTGAACCTAGAATTGTTAGGCAAACTAACAAGTACAAGAATAAAGGGATCTTTTTCAGTTGTGCAACCCCCCCAGAACAATCAACTTCCCCACCCCCACCTCCTATTAAAAAGTTAATACTTGGGCTGGCAATTTAGCTCAGTGGTTCCGCCACCTGCCTTGCAAGCAGAAGGACCCAAGTTCAATCCCAGGTGCCAAAAAAAAACACAAAAAGTTAATACCCTTTCCCATGAAGCCACTGAAAGATGTGCTTCTTCAGTTTGTAAAAGCTAAAACTTGGAAACAGCCCAAGTGCCTATCAACTGGAGACTGGATAAAGAAGATGTGGGGTTTTTTTATAAAATGGAGTACTACTCAGCCAAAAAGAATGAGAAATTAGAGACATTTATAGCTAAATGGATGCACATTGAGGCCATACTCTTAAGTGAAATAAATAGGACACACATGTGTAAATACTGAATAGTTTCTCCAGTGTGAGAAAGTAAAAATATAAAATAGGATCAAAATATATAATAGTAATGTGAAATTGGAAGAAAAGGTCTAAAGTGGTAGGGGAAGTGGGAGGAGTAGGGGAAAGAAAAGACGGCAAAGGAAAAAATATGAAAAAATGGAAACAAAGTCTTTATAAATAGGGAAGGGTGAAGGGGGTGAAAGGAGGGCAGGGGAAGGGGGAAAAAATAAGAACCAAGGGCCGGGAATTTAGCTCAGCGCAGTGGTTCTATCGCCTGCCTCACAAGCCCAAGGTCCTGAGTTCAATCCCTGGTACCAAAAAAAAAAAAAAAAAAAGAACCAAGATCCATCATGTAAAGGTGCAAATTCCCAATGATGAATGTCATCGTATTGTATACCTAAAATATACCAATAAACTTAATGAATAAAAAAAGTGCTTCTTAAAAAGAAGGGAGAAACTGAGGAAGGAGAAAGGCATGGGATGCAGGAGATAGGAAGTCACCCCCAGGAGAAGAAACAGGAAGCCCTGAGTGATGGTCAGGAAGCTGATCAAGCTTCCTCAGGACACAAAGGATCAAATTAAAAGTGTGACCTTTGTGGCCCTCTTTAAAAGTATTTCAAGAGACATTTTACAGAGGTGTGTGGGGTGTGAGTAGACTTAGATGTTTGGGAGGAATCCTAACTCCAGGAAGTGAAAGTAAGTATGTTAAGAAGGGAAACAATCACTGTGTGCTAGTTGGCTCAGCAGTAAGTGGTATTTACCAGGTGAGCATCAGCAAAGCTTATGTATGGATTATCTGGGGAGGCTGAGGGGAAGTGCAGGAACTCACTCTCACCTGCCACCAACACCCTCAGACTCTGGCAGGGGTACCCCAGGAGTGTGGCCCTCTCCACCTCCTGCTAAGTAGCTGTGAGCCCTTGGGCATAGGAGGTGACCACTCTGTGACTCGGTTTCCTCATCTGTAACTGGGAATAATACTAGCACCTACTTTATAGTACCATTATTATGAGAATTTAATGAGTTAAAGAGCTGAAAGCTTGTGGGACAATGGCCGGGTACGTAAGAAGGACTATATAAGTATTTGATGAAAAACTAAGTGCTAACAATGTGTGCATATTATAAATGTGATGGGTGCCTACCAATTTAGGCTTTAAAAATGCAAATAATTGCCTTTGACAATCAGGAAAGGAGAAGCATGAGGGACTACTGGTTACTGGTTTTAAATCTCTTAGTATGATTTGACTGAAAAAGAAAAGATCCCAGGTAGTATTTTAACTGAAATCAATTGAACATAGAAAAACCAACAGCCAACTTCAAATTTTAAAAGGAAGGGCACACACAAGGTTTGACAGGGCTATTTCATACTCCCAGACAATTTGTTAACATTTCCGTTTGCTATGCTAATGAAACTACATGTAATTCTAAATGTAGCAGAAGACCCAAGTCAATTTTCAAAAATAAAACTATCACCACAGGATCCTATTACTCAGTTATTTCTGCAATAAAAGCTCAGCCAACTAAAGAACAAAGTTTTCATTGCACTGAAAGAAGTGTCTTCCATGTATTCATCAGTGAGCATAGATTTCAGGAAAAAAAGCACACATGAAAAGTGAAGTGATTTGAATCCTCCTCTTGCCCTCTGATAAAGATTTTAATAAGTAATGAAATGGAAGACTTAATAAACGGGGAGAATAAGGCCTTGGTTCAAGAAAATGCATAGACCTTCTCTCCCTGAGGTGTACTTCCTCTTCTAAACTAATGAAACGACCAGCAGGAATCAAAGAACCATTGCTGCTCTTGCTTCCATAATTATATAAAACTGCTTCCAAAAGAAATCACATCACACTTACACGTGTTTCAACAGCAAGGCTACCAGGATCAGAAAAAAGAACTCCAAGTAATGGATATTCCATGTGATTTTACTCCTGGGTTGCCTAATCCTCTTCCAAATTCTTCTTTCCAAGACACTCACTACCTTAATGCCTGTATGAATTTCATCTGTTCACCAGCCTAATATGAATTAAGTTAGTTAAAGGATAAGTTCTAGAAGGTCATCATGTAACAATTTGAATACTTCTAAGGTATTCCATTTAATATAAAGGCTTTATTTTCTTCTGCCTGCTTTCACTTGAGAGGCATCTGGTGGATATAGCATTCAGTTCAAAATTCACCATCTCTTCTAATGCCCCTACCACTACACATTGGTACTCATCACTAAGATGTACAACAGCAAAACACACTTTGCTCTGGGCCTTTGCCAAACTCTCCCTGGATCTGGATATACAGCCTCCTCTCTTAAAAAGAGAACAAAATAGTCTGAACTTTGTCCTGGTGTGGCAGCGTGGACCACTGTGACAGTCAGCTAATTCATCACTTTGGGGACCTTCGGCCATGCAACTGACCACTGAACTTACTGTTGTCCAAGACAGTGGCAGTTAATCATTTCCTTAAATGATGTGGGTATGAAAACAGAGTTGATTCTTGCTCAGCTGGCTAACTTTATCCAGCCTCCCTGCCCCTGTGGTGACTGTTGCCATTTTCCCCTTCTTCCCAGACTGCTGGGTTCCAAGAGATTCTGACAGAGGTGGAAATTTTAGCGGTGATTGTGGGATGCCTGTGTCATGACCTCGACCACAGGGGAACCAACAATGCCTTCCAAGCTAAGTAAGTGTTCTAATTGTTGTGATTTTAATGCATTTGCCTTTCTGTTCAAAGCCAAAGGTGACGAGTGCTAAAGAGTAAAGCATTAATTTCTGGCACTGGAGGCCAAGGCCACGCAAGCTTGGGTGTGCATGTCACAGGGCCCATCCATCTTTATAATTCCCCATTCTTCTTTTAATTGCAAATTTGCCCTTCAAGTCATGCTTGTTGATTTGGTCTGTCTCTTGACCTCAGTCAGATAACAAAGCTCAGATTTTAAAGGGCCTATATTTTCCTCCCCGAATATTTGCCTTCATGGCATAACAAACTTTTGGGGCCTGCTGCTCTCAAATCTGGTTTTGAGACTACTCCAATGAAAGCAGTCTTAGATTTTTGATGAAGGAAAATATGTCTTCCAAGATACTTTTAATGATGGATAATATATAAGCTGGAGTGAACTAAGGCCCCATATAAGGGCCTAGTATCTTCTCATCCCTACCCTCACGGAAAGGTGGAAAGCAGAAAAAAGAATTTCATAAATACAGCGATTTATGAAATAGGCAACTATTTGCCCTGCACATAGTGCATGGATAGAATAATCTGTCTCTGAGCAAGTTGTACTGGTCAAGATAGTCAGTGCCTGGTGGCTAAAGCCACAGAGCTCAGGGATACTGGAAATATGACCAAATCTCAGATCTCTGGACCCTTTATATTGAGGGTCCCATTTTACTGTTCTTTGTACTATGTATCTGTAAACAAAATGATACAGGAGGTCTGAGGTCTGAAGATGGAAAGAAAAGCTGTAGGGGATGGAAGTGAGGGAAGGCTTCGGTAAAGAGATGATATTAACTTTGCGGGGGGGTGCCGGGGATCGAACTCCGGACCTTGCACTTGCGAGACAGGTGACGGAACCACTGAGCTAAATCCCTGGCCAAGATATCAACTTTAAAATGACTGAAAGCAGGGTTCCCAGAACAAGTCAACCTCTATTATCTGAAGTTTCAATCGCTTGCTCGGTGTTAACAGGTTTCTCTCAGCTTATCCCTCTCTGTTCCCCAAATATCTACCAACTGAGACCTTGGAGCCCTGGACCCTTGCATGTGCTCCTGGTCTAGCAGATGAATTTTGGTTTTATGTCTTCTTCCATCTGTCCTGCATCCTATAGTCCACCCCTTCGCCCTTCTCTTATCAATATCCAATACCCTATCATTTCTCAACGTTCTTAAATGTCTGTGACATCTGTTCTGCAAAAACTCAGCCCTGGCTCAGTCTAACAATTCAATTTCTTGCTCTTCTGCCTAGACTAGTAAGGGCTTTGGGAGAAAATGTCACAGTTGTGAGAGTTTGAGACATATCAAATATATATTCTTCCAACTCGGCTGAGCGCTCAGTACTCTTTACTAATCTTTCTGTGTCCCCAGCCAGCTCCATCCCCTATGGCTCTTAGCCAGTTACAGGCACCAAATGTTCTCCCTTCCTAACCCACCTCCCCCACACAGTCAGCAGATCACCTTGCCTCCCACTTCAACGAGAAAATTGAGGCCATCAATCGAGAACTCTCTCAATTTCCTCCCCTGCCACCTACAAACTTATCTATCCATTCCCATCCTCTCCTCCTCCCTTCCTATCTCAGCAAAAGTGCTGTCCTTCCCCATCAGAGGCTAATCCCCTCACCCCTGCTTTGCATCCCTTCCTTGCTCTACCCCTTGGGACATTGTGCCATCAATCTCCCTCTCTCTCCCCTCTGTCTACTGGCCACTTTCTCCTGGTGCTCTGCATCCTATTAATATGAACAGTCCTCCCTCATCTTGAAAAATTCCACTTTATGCCACTTCTCTCTAGCTTTTGTTGTATTTCCTTCATTCTTTCTCTGTTAAGCTTCCTGGAGGGTTGTTTGTGTTGGTTGTCTTCACTACCCGCAACTCTTGCCCTTCCACATGGCTTCCAGTTTTTTCTTACCAGAAAAACTGTGCTCAGTAATGGCCCCTTCTCTCAAAGCTGTTGGACCCTTTTATTGTCCTTTTTTCTTTACTCTTCTTATTGTGAGATGTATTTTCTCATTCCCTCCTTTGTACCTCTCCTTTTTTCCTAACAGAGGATTTTCGTCTACCTCTGTAGCCTCCTGCTCATTTACTTCAAGGCCTTTCCTGTAGCCTATCCTTCACTGCTAATGTCTCATTTGTCTCTTGCTTTTTCTGGCCCTTCCTGTGGAGCCTCTACCTACTTGCTCATAAATCCCAAGTCCATTTCTTTGAACCATAATTTGCATCTTATTTCCAGGCACTTATCCTGGTGCTTAAGGGATTCCTCCTATTGGAATTCCCACAGTCAACTCATTCTGTCTCTCCCTACATGCATGTCTCTCTGTCTCTTATACTCCATCCCAGTGAATGGACCCAACCAAAACCTGCAGGTCTCTCAGGCTCCCCTCAAGTCAGCTCCTCCTCTGCATTCTTAGGATAACTATTGTTTCTTTGCCTCTTTCTTGGATTGCTGCCACAAACAGCCCAACTCTCCTTCATTCTGCTTGGCACTCCAGAATGCTCTTTGGAATTCCAAAGCTCATCAGGTCATTTCCCTTGTCAGTTTTTTATGCTTTCATAATACATGGCTATTCTTTTTCAAAAGTGTACATCTCACTCTATTTTAATTGTTAGCTTATGGGTGTGTCTCCCTTTCCATTAGTAGCTGCAACTAAAGAGGTCCAGAAACATAATAAACACACAGTAAATGTCTACTGAATGAATGAGATTTTATCCTATTTTAATATTTACTTTTCAATAGATTTTCCTGATTTATTAAGCAGATGTGACTTTTTATAGATTATTATAAAAGAAACCCTTAAACACATAGCTTTGAGGCTATACTGAAGATCTAGAGCCCCTTGAATTGTAAACCATACAGGCTTTCATTATAACGTCTGAGAGTTCCTTATTTTAAGTCCTTATCTGTCTACTTATTTTTTAGGATTCCTGTCTCTTCTATTCCAATGAGACCATTGTCAGTATATCTCCCTTTATCATTCTCTCTCCCATCCCTCACTCTTTTACTACTTCTGCCAAGAAGAAATAAAAATACTAGATTGTGTCTGTAAACCAAGAGTGAGCACTCTGTGGGTTCTTTCTTTTTTTTTTCTTTTTTTTTGTTACCGGGGATCAAACTTGGGTCCTTGAGCTTGCAAGGCAGGCAGCAGAAGCACTGAGCTAAATCCCCGGCCAGAGTTTTTGGCGGGGGGGGGGGGAGGTTTGTGGATTCTTTCTAAGAGTCAAATGCACAGTAGTTGTACTTGGATAGTACTTCCTCTTCCAGAGTGCTTGTGCATCATGCTGGAAGAAGCAGCTCTTCTTTTCTTGTTGTTGTCGTTGTTGTTTTTGGTACCAGGGATTGAACTCAGGTCCTTGCGCTTGCAAGGCAAGCGACAGAACCACTGAGCTAAATCCCCGGCCCGAAGCAGCTCTTCTTGCTAGTTGACCCCTCAGCTGTTTGGACCAAGAGTACACAGCTAATCAAAATTGAGCCAATCAGATCTTCACTCCCAGGACTGTAGAGTTGGATTACTATGTTATTGAGTCTTTTAGCTGCAGGGATCCAAGCTGCAGGTCCACATAGACTTGGGAGCAGGGGCTGCCATTTTGGGAAAGCTATTCTGACCATATCCCAGATGTATGGAAAAAACCAAGATGGCCGGCCAGTTTACAGAGAAGAGAAAAGAATGAAGCTGATAATCAGAGAGAAGCCAAAAGGAGGGACTGTGTAACCCAAGATAAAGATAGAAAAATCAGGCTTGGTCCCAAGTCCTCCCCTAGCTGCTCTTATTTCCAGGAGACTTGGCCACACTTGTGACACTTGAGCCCCCTCAGCATTCCTAGTCCCATTTAACCAAACCTCTTCTTAGAGAAGATGGTGCTACTTCGTTTTTTGTTTTTTGCAACAATCCCAGAGACAATGAAAACTATAATTTTTTTATTCTTTGCTGTGTCATAAGCCCTCACCAAATTTCTATAGATATTTTTGTCTTCATTTTACAGAAGAAACTGAGCCTCAGGGAGGTAAGTGATTTGCCCAGATTCATCTACCTAGCATGTGGTAGAGCAGAGTTTGGACCTGTGCTGCCTGATCCCAAAAGCCATTTTTTGAATAGCTGTATCATACTCCTTCCATGACTTTGTGACAGTTATTTTGGACCTTTGAGCTTCCAGTTTATTGGCTGTCTTGTCAGATATGTGAGCTCTGGAAAACTAAAATACATTTTGACAATTCAACTTGTGGAACCATAAAAATAGTAGAATTGAATTAAACCTAAGTAGTCATATTCTTCATTGTCTTAATTTTACAAAAATGAGAATTGAGAAAAAAAAAAATGAGAACTGAGGTCCCAAAATCTCAAGTCATTTATAGAATACTAAACAACTTCTATACATAGTAGATAGACATTAATCAAGTCACTGATGCTAGATTTCATTTTCTTTTTGCATCCTCATGTCACAGGATCAAATCGGTCTGCTCCAACATGTGTTTCCTCAAGATGACTAACCTTGTACACATTTCACCAGCTCATGGGATGTCTGCAGCCCTGCATCTACCTAATGGAGTCACTTTTGAACTTAGGACACTTCATGGCAGGCCTACCTAACCTAAGATTTTTCTTTGACAATAAATCCTGAGACATTTTTTATATCACAGTGAAGGAACTTACTTTTTATGATTGGAATAAGATTCATTCAGTGAGTGTACTATTGTTCAGAAAGTCCCTATGAAGAAACTATATTCTTTTCTCCTTTTTTACTCCTATAATTGAGTGAGTGGTTACTATATTCAAGGCCCTGAGCTAAGCATTGTGGGAAAAATCAAGAAGTATAGCGAACAACCCCTTTTCTTAAAGTATTCACAGTCTATTTCCAACCTTTCAAGAGTTTCGGAAATGGAATTTAAAGGCGCCAATTATTATGTGCCAAAGCATATGCTACCTTTTTTCATATATAAGGCTATAAAGAAACAGGAGACATTTAGCAAGGGACAAATTACTATATAAAATGCAAAATGCCTCTACAATAAAAAGTGTGACTTCAGTTAGAGCACAATTTGATTTATACTCTTAGCCTTTCTGATGAGTGACCCTTTGCATTTTCATATTTTATTCTTAATTTGTGAGTATTTGAGTACGTGCAGTGAGTGATCAATAGGTAGAAGAGGGCAGCAATACCACAGTGCTTTAAAACTGCTCGTTCACACCTCTCCCATTTTCTCCAGGGACAGTGTTCCCCACTCATCCCCTTCTCTATTACAGCTGCCCCTGATGATTAAATATCAGCACCGAGCAGCTCTGTAGTATATTCTCTGAGGAGACTTCTTCTATTCATTTCTAGCATAATCTCTTATACTCATTTCTTGGGAATGAAAACCCATCTTGTCGCTTTCGGCCAGGTCCCAGAAGTGAAATACTGGGGCACATTAATCTGCCATGACAGCCTAATCCCATTCCTCACCACCTCCCAACAATTCTCCATTTCCTAATTACCTCTCATCATTTTCCTTTTTAAAGTCTCCGTTAAGCCATGGCAGAACACTGCCATTAAGTCTTTTTTCCCAAAGAATATGCATATCTAGGGAAGTTATGAAGGTCATTTCAATTTGCACAGTGCGTGTTGTACAAGGAACTGTGCCTGGCAAAGTGCTGAATGCCTGCAGAAATAAAATCTTAACTTTGACTTTTCTTCTTAACAAGTTTCTCCTCAGTACATTGCCTGTTCAAAAAGGAGAAACTTTAGTGTTTTGGATGATCGAGACAACGATGCTCATCGTAAATATCTACATATATAAATGCACTAGGTTTCCTCTCCCTATACACACACCCTACCTATACATAATCATATTTTCACAAACACAGTATCTGTGCCTCAGAACCACTCATCTGATGCATATATTAACTATAGACAATTGAAGTGAGGTGTGGTATTAAAATCACTATTTTCCATATGTGATTACTTTGTTATTATTTAGTTTGAGTGGTTTTCTTTTCATATGTTAGATGAAAAAGCAGAAGTATACCTTTACACAAACTGTATGACAAGAAAGACTTAGCTTCTTTAAAAAATACTTTTGTGATCAGTTAAAAGTGAATACTGCTTCGTGTTTTGTTCTCCTCCTACAGAGTTTCAATGCACATTTTCACATATGAAAGCCTCTGGAAAATCTTACAATACAGAAACAGTTTAAATTTTTGAAGCCAGCATTTCCCAAACTTGTTTGACCATGGAACCCTTTGAATTTCTGCCCTTTATTCCTTCTGACATTCCAAGGAACCAGTGTTCTGTAGAATACTTTTCAATAAAGCTTATCCTACCAGATAGGTTTTACTCCTAGTTGTGTCAGGTTTTATGGGTTTTGCTCCTTCCCGGTGGTCCTAGGAAGTTCACAGTACATAATGGTAGATATAAGCAGCCCTCTCAGTGAGCCTTAGCCTGACAAAGAAGCACCAAGAGATTTGGACATCTTAGAAATTCAGACAGGAACAAAAACCTAATAGCCTAATACAAGGGATCCATATAGAAATGGAGATACTCCTGCTTAAATGATTGTACTGTAGAAAACTCAGAGTAAGCACCACACTCCATTCTCTGGATGTCCACAATGGCACCCCCAACTTATAGATGTGTAAGCATTTTTAATGTAAGACTGGTCAGAAAACTTCCTCAACACAATTATAGGGGACTTCCTGAAAGTAAGATCCACATCTGAGGTATCTTTGTCTTCCACAGGGGTCTGGCACAATGGTCATTGATGCTTATTGGTTGGATTGAATGAATGATAGATGAATGAATGGATGGATCACAATGTCTTCCTGAGCTTTCATAGCATTAGTCTGCTTCTGTTGCAAAACTTACCTATTTTCTGTGATTAAAGTGGTATTGTGAGAGGGCAGGCAGTGTAGAATGGAATTACTGAAGGGAACAAGAGTGAATCTGATGAGAAAGCTGCTTAAACCATGGACAGTCACACACCTGCTTTTACATAAACACTCTAAGAGTCCTGAGGAAGCACAATAGTTCAGAAGCCACATAAGGGGAGAGAGAAGGTGACAGGGGAAGCATCACAGTGCTTGTTATAAGGTGTCCCCTGGTTAAAAGAAAAAAAATCTCCTTATTCATCTTGAACAAAGAAAATTTAAAGTGACTCGTGATCATCTAACTGATTTAACTTTCATGGGTTCTGCTAAACCAGTGCAAATAAAGGAAGAGAGAACATTTCTGCATCTTGACTCTCCAGACTCTGCTCAGGAACTGTTATCAGCGCCGCCCACCTTGCAAGCGCAAGGTCCTGAGTTCAATCCCTGGTACCAAAAAAAAAAAAAAAAAAGAACTGTTATCGGGATTCACACCAGTGAGTGAGTTCTATTTGAGCACAGCTGCTTAATAGAGAAGAATCACAGGAATCTGAGCCTGTGTTAGCAATTACACTAATAGAATTCGGAATTAAATTTTGAAAGCTTCTTTCACTGCTAACAACCAGCTGAATAAAAATGGAGAATCGAATATCAGAGATGTTTGCTATAATTATCATTTTTACAATGTAATAAGATTGATGCTAGCTGGCTGTGTGACCTTAGAAAAGTTGTATAACTTCTCTGAGCCTTCCTTTCCTGGTGTGTAAAATGAGAAAATAATGCTTCCTATTTTGTAGTTGTTATCAGGACTACATGAAATAGCACATTAAGAGGTTGATATGTTTCTTAGTGCATGGTAGGCACACTTATTACTGTCAACCTTCCCGTTTTAACTATAATCTCCAGACATCCCACTATAAGCTTATTCGCCAACAACTAATATTCTTTTTGGTACCGGGGATCGAACTCAGGACCTTGCACTTGCAAGGCAGGTGGCAGAACCACTGAGCTAAACCCCAACCACTAATATTCTTAAAAGCATTTACTCCATGCCAGGTACTCAGAATTTCAATAGCCAAGACAGAATGTGCATTTTGAAACATGTATTTTCATAGAAATGTAAGACATAAAGTAACTAGCATTAGATATGAATCCATCATTAAGGTTGGCCTGGCAAATTTTTACTTATTCATTGATATTAGGTAAGGCAAGATTTAAAGAAATAACACTGATTAAAATCTAGTGCTTCCTTACTAAACTTCTTCATTGTAATTCCTAGTAACCCTAATCACCCTTTCATTATGTGGTGAGCTCTGAGTCTGTCCAAGGATTGCAGTCCTCTTTACCCCAGAAACTGACTATGGTTTTGGGCTGCCCCACACCAGAGGTGAAGAGTAGCTTAGGACAGAAATTCCTCACATTACATTCATATGTAGTCTTTTCCCTTCTCACTTGTACTAGTAGGACAGGCTGTGAGCTGTGAAGCTCCAGCATTTCCAGTTGAAGGCCAAATTCTCCTTTCCATGTCCAGACCCTCCTCAATAAACTAGAGAACACAGGGACCTTGAGATGTCCTCAACCTGAATCCCAGAACTTTTTTTTTTTTTGGTACCAGAAATAGAACTCAGGACCTTGCACTTACCAGGCAGGTGTGGCACCACTGAACCAAATCCCGAGCCCTCAGGACTTTAATCTGTGGGATTCTCTGAATCTCTCTTGACTCTTAACATGGTCTAATTCTTTCCAGGAAGTTGGAAATGAGTGTGCTTTAAATTAACACTTTAGTGACCTGACATTGTTGAGGGATGGGTTGTTCTATGTAAATACCTGTAACTCAAAGAAATCCTATCACATATCTATTAATGTCTTATTTATTTGAAGTGGAAATACCCGTATGTGTCTTGATTATTAATATGATATAGGCTGAAATCTACTCCAGGCAGGCACTGTGGTAGATAATTTAAAATATTTTATTACAGTCTCATTAATAACAGGCAAGGTATATAGAGCCATCATATTACAGATGAAGAAGCAGAGCCTTGAAGAGGCCGAGGAACTGTCCAAAGCTGCTAAGTAGAGGCAGTATTGAGACTCAACTTCAAATCCAGGGAGCACTGCAGAGTTCTATGTGAGTTATCATAGTGTGACTGGGACAAGGGAACCTAACAGAAAGTTGTCAGCCTAAGTAAAATAGATATACTGGATTCTGCAGAATATTCATACAATGTTGGTATGAGAGTGCTCTGGACATTCAGAAGACATGAGGATTAGTTCATGACAATTACAGTGATACCCAGAACCAGAAATTGTCTTTCACCCCACAACACCTAGATTGGACCAGAAACACCATTTTACAATGTGTTAGTATTTATATTGTCATGTTATTTTTTTCTTATGCTTATATCTCATCTTTCTTAATTGTCTATAAATTTCTTACAGGCAAGGACTGTGCCTCAAAAAACACTTCAGTTGTCGCTAATAGGAAAAGCAGTTCAATCCATAGTAGGTTCGGGTGAAGGTCATGCTCACTCCACCTTCTGTCCTCTTTCAGGAGTGGCTCTGCGCTGGCCCAACTCTATGGGACCTCGGCTACCTTAGAGCACCACCATTTTAACCATGCTGTGATGATCCTTCAAAGTGAGGTACAGCCTGCTCCATTCCCCGCCTTGCCAGAAGACCACCTGTCTGGTTCCTACCTTTCCTTCTTTATAGTTCCATGGGCAGATATGGAGAAGAGGGAAGAACATGCCTAGGTCAAGCTACTGGGTCTTGGTGGCTTTCATGAATCTTTTAAATACCTGGCTGAGGACCTTGTTCAAATTCTTCCTCAGGTGACTCAGCTGGGTTTCATCCAATAATGACATGGTTCATTTGAAGGCTTCGTCCACAGGGGACCAGGTATAGAGTGCTTGCTACCACAGTTCCGTCTTGTCTTCCTAGAGGAACACAGAATCTCACAAAGGGAGTGACTTGATCCAAGTACTGAAGGGCCCAACATTCCCATTCTTGTGACCCAAAGCCATTCTAAAAGATGGTAGAAGCAAAAACCTGGTGAGAGAGTTACACTTTATTAGCACGATAGAGAAAAACCTATAAAAGATGAAAGAACTTAAAATTGCTGGTGGGCCCAGTTTAAAAGTTTGAACTGCAGCTAAACCTGTGACCCAGGGCTAAGGCCATATGCCTTATTTTGCTTCTTGTGGCAATGCAGGAGTTGGAAGTAGTTTGGTTTTATACTTTTAGTTTTCTGCAGAGAAAAACAGAAACGACTGACTCTGGCTGAGACATCTGAGTTTTAAATTGCCAGAAAAGGATCTGTTTAATTTTCTGCAGCCGTACAGAGATTTTTTTTCGAGGCCAGGAAGGGATCATCTGTTCCCCATTATTTGTCAGTTCTCTAACTGTGCCATTAATTATTATTATTATCATCATTAAGGCCCCGCTTCGCTGGAATGGCATCATTAAATATGGAGGGTTTTTTCCTCCAGCCTATGTTGAGAACGCTTTTGCAATATCATGAAAGCCTTCGACCCCATAAAGGATAGTCGCTGCTCCAGAACATGAATGCAGGCAGGGCAGGGCAAACCTGCTAGGGGTGAGGTAGTTTCAATGGTGAATGAAGCACCAGGCTTAAGCTCTCAGTAACTGACAGAAGCCAGCATCATGGCATTTGTGGCTCTGGAATTTTCCTACAAAAGCAGTGTTTTAGCAGGGCTCTGTAGAAGAGGATAGGAAAGATAGGAAGCACTTGGGTTCAGACTACATTTGTTTCGCCGACAAATGCTATGAGTTTACACCTCTGACCCCAGAAAGCCCCACCTTTGTCATAACAAGGATTATAAACAGGATGTCAGGTTTCCTCAGGGAAACAACCCCCATGCCCTCTGACTTGTGTCTGAGTGAGCATAATACGTAGGCCGCCTTCGCTCTGGGCTCTTAGGAGTGACAGAGAGGCCAGTAGTAATGGAACCTTGCACTCAGTGCCTGCTGTGATGCCCAGGGGCAGAAAGGCTAGATGGCTTGAGGAAGGTTGTCCCAGACCTAACCTGTCCATATTTGCCGTTCTTTTGGTTCTTTCCACATTCCCTGCTTATTTAAATAGCCTTAGAAACAGGGCTTCATGGAGACTCAGCTCTACTTCAGGGGACCAAATCTGGAGACATTGTGCAAGGCCAGTTGCATATAAACAATATACCGGATGCGTATTAACTTTCCCTAAAAATTAAAGCAGACCTGGCTAACTTTGTGAGTTTGCTCACTGGAAATGGAATTAGCTACTTATGTCCTTTAAAAGTAGTAAAATAGGGCCAGGGATTTAGCTCAGTGGTTATGCCGCCTGTCTCGAAAGCACAGGGACCCAAGTTCGATCCCCAGTACCAAAAAAAAATAAATAAAATAAAATAAAAGTAGTAAAATGGGGGCCAGGGATTTAGCTCCATGGTTTCGCCACCTGCTGCGCAAGCGCAAGGACCCAAGTTCGATCCCCGGTACCAAAAAAAAAAAGTAGTAAAATGCACACCCTCGCAAAATAAGCAAGTTCAGACTAGTTTTCTCTTTGAACATTAACGTTTACTGAACTTGCTTCTCAGGCCTGTATTTCTTTCACTGGGCGATGTTGAGTGTGTGCTGGGTCTAAACTGATTATTTTTCCATAATTTTTTCAAAGGCCTCAGAATACCCGCTTGTGATTGATCCATGGGGCAATGCTCAGGCAGAAAGATGTGGGCAGAATTACGGTGCAGCATTCCTTTAGTTGTTGGTCTTCCTCTTAATGGCTGAATTAAGGGTCTGGAAGAGTTCATTTGAAAATTATTATTAATATTGGACTTGGTCCCAGGTAAAACCAATATACTCTCGTCTTTAAAGAATGACGGGTTCACCCAGTGAGATAAATTAACTCAGGGGAGCAGATTATCATGTGGTGCCTGGTAGGAGAATTTACTAGTTGATATTTCTGGTTCCTTGAAAGAATTAATTTACCTCTCGATAGGGAATAGTTTATTATCAGACAGTCATTTGCCCCTTCTCCACCATGTCCTGGCTCTCAACACTCAGTTTTAAAAGGTCCATTTTTTAGGCCACATGCTTGTAAGTTCATACTTTATGCTAAGAAAATCTGACTTTTCAAGCATAGTAAGTGAATTGTTGATCATGTCACCGAAAGACTTTCACTCTACTACAAACAGTGAAGCTGCCTAGAGAAGCTCAAACAAATTTTGAAGAAAAAAACCCATATTTTTCATAGGTTTGGACAGAAAGCTTATAACTGGAACTTTATGTAGGGAAAACTAGATTTTTCTATGCCAAGAACAATGCTTCATATGCCCTGCTATTCAGTAATTATTCACCATACTGAATTTAATCTACCACATGCTTTATCAAAACTTATCCTAACAGTTTGATGTGCAGTCTCTCAACTTCAGCAGCATTGACAAGTTAAGCCAGGGAGACTTTTGATTAGTTGTTTGTTTCTTTCTTTGTTTTGGTTTTGTTTTTTTGTTTGTTTCTTTTGTTTTTTGAGGCAGGGTATTGCTATGTAGTTTAGGCTGGCCTTGAACTCACTATTTAGCCTAAACTAGCCTCGAACTCATGAGATCCGCTGGTCTCAGACTCCAGATCACTGGGATTACAGACATGCACCACCATGCCCACCCCAGAGAGGACTTTGGGAGGGACCCTCCTGTGCATTGTAGGACTTTTACCAGCATCCCTGGCATCTTCCATTAGATGCCAGTAATGCCCCCACCTAGTTGTGACCATCAAAAATGTCTCCAGATATAGTCAAAAGTCCCTGTTGAGACTCTTCCCCAGTTGAGAACCACTAGTCTAATGACTTTTTCTCCTTTAAGTCGCTTGATACCACAACAAGTAGTTCCAGAATTTCAGTTAAACTATAGTAGTAAAATTGGTATTTATTTTAGGGTCACAAAAGATTCCAAAATGTTTTTCCAACTTCTCCACTATGTACTTCCATAGGAAATGGGTAATCAGGTGGAATCTTTGGCACAAACGTTCATAATAAGACCAGTTCAAACATTTTCAGAGCTTTTCTTTTGACAATGCTATGCACATAATAAATCGTTCCTCATTGGACCTCCTCAAAAACAATTCATTTCCTGGCTTCACTATGTTTGCCAGGCAATCTATTTGTATTTATACAAAATTTTATTAAGTTTTAAAAAAATGATTATTGTGTTCCCAGATATTTAATTTTCAATATAGGAAAAAAATGTAATCAACAACCAAGACTTAATGATGTCTTTTGTGACTTTTTACTTTCTCATTACAGGGTCACAACATCTTTGCTAATTTGTCCTCCAAGGAATATAGTGACCTTATGCAGCTTTTGAAGCAGTCAATATTAGCAACAGACCTCACGCTGTACTTTGAGTAGGTATTGGCATTTGATCTATTTGACAAATGAATATCTAAAGTTCCATCTTATAATTAATTTTCAGGTCCATATCAAGGGTTGCCTGTTATTCTAGCATTGATATAAATATGTAAAAGGGATAAATTTTTTAATGTTGTTTCTCCCTTACCTAAATGAAGGTTGTGTGTATAAAAGATAAGATTTGGGGCTATAATGGCAAGTTTTCCATCTTTCTTCTGTTTTATGAACTCTGTTTGAAACTCTAGGTTCTGAAACTAAGTGATGGTCATTTTTATTTTAGATACTGCCTATGACTGCTATTTTCAACTATTATTTCTGATCTGATCTATAATGGTATTGATATGATGATCATGATGATGATGATTTTGATGATAATGGTGATGATGATGAAATTTATTTTTGATGGAAAGTTGACTAGAAAGCTAAGCTTTCATTCATTCCTTGCTTCTCTTCTATTTCTATTTCTTAGAAGATCTGTCCTCCACCTTCCCACAGGACAGCCCTCTCTGAGCAGAGAATTCCACCCCTCCCAATCCCAGATGGAAATTTCTTCCTCTTCTCCCACTGACATACACAGTCATCTCCTATCTTAAAGACTAAACAACTTCTCTCCCTTAAAAAATTATTTCACAGACCTCATGGAGATCTTTAATCACTTCTCAACTTGGCTTTATTTTACTATTTTTAAACAAACAGAGCCCATTAGTTCCTCTGCTTTCTTTCCGTCCATTTACACTTTAGGGAGCATAATCCACCTCAACATTCCACATAAATTGTACTCCCAGTGGTCCCCACAGATTTCTGGTAGTTTCTTCTTTTGTTTGAGGTATCTGAAGGTTTACTGACTTCTCATTGTCAGTTTCTATTTTGCTTCCCCAACATCAAGTTTTCTTTGTTCCTCCTCTTCTAGATCTTTTTTCTCCTTTTTCCTACCTACCAGTTCTTGAACCCAGGTTCATCTCTCTCTACTCAGATTCTCCGCCTCACTTCTGTATTCTCTTGACATGGGTTGTTACTGTGTGGAGAAGATTGAAATTCTTTACTCTATCCCCCCACCCACCCACATTCTAGTCCATATCTTCGGTTTCCATCTCAAAAACCTTCAGTGTCTTCATTGATTTCTAAGAAAGTTGTAACTTTTACTTGATTTTCATGTGCCTCCATAATCTGCCTGTCTTTTTTCATTTTTATCTTCCACTTCTCCCTCACAGGATTTGTTTTCTTCGGTGAGACTAGTTTACACACCACCCTTTGAAGTATGTAGTGTCCCTCATACCCCAGTCATATCGCTGTTCCTATGTGGGACCCTGTCCCTCCACTTCCACAACTAGTTGAGTGAGCCATCCTTTAAGTTTTACTTCTTCTACCACCTTTTCTAGGATATCTCAAATCAATCCCTTTGAAATATTACTGGAGTTTGGTGTTGCATCAGTTAGAATTAGTCTCTATTGTAAGAGACCAAAAACACTGAGCAACAGCGACTCACTTCTCTGCTGCATAAAAGACATCTTGAGCTCAGCAATCTGAAATTGGTACAGTAGTTATATGAAGCCATCAGGGACCCAGGCTCCTTCTGCCTTTTTGATGCCACCTTCAATACATATTTTCCACCTCTTAGTCCAAGATAGTTACTCAAGCTCCAACCATAATGCCCACATTCCAGCCAGAAGGAAGAAGGAAAGGACAAAGAGAAAAAGGGAAAAAAAGATGATGCAAGCTATCTTCTATGAGAGTTTTCTGGAAGTTGCCACCTAACACTTCCACTTGCATTCCACTAGTCAGAATTTAGTCACTTGACCATACCTACCTTGAGGGAAAGTTGAGAAACTTATTCTTGTGTAGCCATGTGCCAGATAAAAACCAGAAATTCTACTACTAAAGAAGAAAGAAGGCAGGATGTGGGGCTACACCTGGCACCCCGTACTGCAGACTTTGCTACTAGAGTCGGTGAAGGGGTTACTACTGATGTGGTGGGAGGAGTTAGGCTGGACTGGCTTTCAGTCTCACTTTGGCATGCGAGTTAAACCTGGTGTATTGAGCCCAAGTGTCTGTATCTTCTCGCTCCTAAAACTCCTCAAAGTGATACTAAATGATTTAAAAGAAAAAAAAGGCATAAATGTACAAAGAGAAAGAGAGGGCGCACAAGTCACAAGAGCTGTCAGTACATTTTTGAAAATGAAAGGCAGACCAGTGAGTGGTAGGTGATCTAGCAGAATAGAAATAGAAGGCACAATCTACAGAAGACAGGGCTGAGCAGAGTAAGCCAGTTTGCTGTGCGCTTCCTGGCTTGGGGTATAGAGACAAACAAACAAACAAACAAACAACAACAAAAAAAAAACGTATTATGAAAGGTGGATGTGACACTGAAAGCTCAAGGCAAGGAGGTTGGAAACAAATCAGCTTACTGAACCCTCTGAGCTGATGAAGGCCTCCACCAACATGGTCAGGTCGCCCCCCTTTCCTCTACCCATGAAGGCAAGAGGTTCATTCTATGGAGAAACAGAAAGAGGGGCTCTGGACTAAGGAGGAGTACAGGGTGGGAATAAGGTGTAGTGCTCAGAGGAGTGCTCAGCGTGGTGGGGGGTTCAGCATGATGGAACCAATCTCTGTATTAAAAACCCATAGTGCAGGGCTGGGGATTTAGCTCAGTGGTTTCATCACCTGCTGCGCAAATGCAAGGACCAGAGTTCGATCACCGGTACAGGAAAAAAAAAAAAAAACCCCAAAGTGCAGAGCGCAGTCACTCGAAAGCTGGGATCTCTAAGGCACACCCCTGGGGCTGTCAGATTAGCAAACAGAAACACAGAAGCCCCAGGTAAATCTTAAATTTCTTTTCTTTTTTTAATTTTAAACTTTTGATAAATAAGAAATGCTTGTTTTGGTATACATACACCCATGCACGTGCCCCCCACATGCACCCCACAAAATATTTGAGACATATGTGCATTAAAAATGTTTTATGTGAAATTCAAATTTAACTGAGCTTCCTGGATTTTGGGTTTATATAAGAATCTACCTCCTTAACACATACACACACACTCCTAGTTAGCCTTTTAATTTTTTAACTCCTTACTATTACATACAAACAGGCAGCCAAATATCACAGAATATTTTATAAACCTCCAATATGACAAACAGGGGCCAAAAAACTGCTGCTACTATCCTTGCAAAACCAAGATATTGCTTCTATTAAAAAAGAATAGGATGCTTTAAAAATGATAATAGAAGCAACCATGAAGAAGAAAGAGCTCTTAAAAATTAAAAACATTCTTGCCAAAATAAAAAGCAAAATAAAAGCATTGGAAAATACAATCAATGGATAAAAGGCAGCAAGATGGAAAAGATGCTGTTTATAATTTCATTATGTCTTTCAGTGATTCTAATTTGTTATTTATATATATTGCTTGGATAAATATAAATTTTAATTAATATCAGACATATGCTTGAAAAATAAAAATCCCAGCTCTGCTGCTACCTAGCTGTGTATCATCAGTCAAATAATTTACCTCTCTGAGCCACTTCATGTATAAAATGGAAATAATATCTTATGTGTCTTGTAAGCGGTGACACCTAAAGCAGACCTTGTTTGCTTTATAGCCCATGTATTTTTTAATTTTTATTTATTTATTTTGGTACTGGGGATCGAACTCGGGTCCTTGCACTTGCACAGCAGGCGGCGAAACCACTGAGCTAAATCCCCCGCATAGCCCACGTATTTTTCACATTTTGTGGACCTCAAGTTGGCTTAACTATCATGACCTTCCATCTTTCTCTGGATTGATATTCCTTGATTTGGAACTTATGGAAAGCCTGTGTCCTTTTAATATTTATATTTTTGTTTCTTGCTTTTGATATTTGCAGGATTTTAGGTTACTTTTCCCAAAGTAGAAATGTTTTCCCAAGCCAATTTCCAAGAGATTTTTGCGTGCACATTTGTGTGTGTGCATATGTGTGTGTGTGTGTATTACTGAAGATTGAATCCATGGCCTTTGCACTGAGCTATAGCTCCAACACTTTTCATTTTGTTTTATTTTATTTTGAGGCAGGGTCTCATTAAGTCGCTAAGTTCCGAGTAACTTTTAAAGGGGAAAAAAGTCTCAGCACTTGGAGTCCATCTATCAAGCCCTGCTGCGGATGTGCATAATCACTGAGTGACTGCGGGGATGCAGTCAAGGAAGTTGGTTGCTAGTCCTTTTCTCATTACTCTGTTCTTATCTTAATGCTGCAGCCCCAGCTAATGTTTGCTGACTCCCACAGAACCTGGCTTGCTCCCTTTTTGTCATTGTTATTGTTCTTTAAGGTTCTCAATAACTGCTCATTCTCTAATCTAGAGCTTCAGGGGATTGATTCACTCCTCTTCTAAAGCTATGCTAAAGTATTGTCGTACTTTTACCCAAATCCCTGGGATTCATAAGGGGAAAAGTAGCTACTAAGCACTGTCACCCAGATACTTTTATTTCACAAACACATAACTGTTCTATTGGAAGGGGTCTTAGAAATGACATCATCCAAGTCATCTCTTTTATTTTGCATATCAGGCACTGAGGCCCAGATGGTTAAATAGTGCAGCTTGGGCTACATAACTAATTATTGGCAAAAGTGGGTTTTTTAGGGTTTTCCCCATAATCCCTATATTCCCTATTAAACGGATGAATCAAGAAATACTTCTTATTTGGATTAGAGATATATTATATGACAATATTGACCTTCCTAGGTGTGCTTTAATGAATTAAAATAAAAACCAGCCTGGATTCCCATGCCCTGCTCCCAAGCACAGCTGGAGACAAGGCTTGCCTATAGTTTATTTAGTTTAGAGAATAAAAGGGAGGGTTGCTGGATTGGAATAGGGAAGGGGCGTAGGTGTTATAAGGACGCATTTCCTTGTTGACTACTGCTTTGGTCAGCTGGCTTGACCCTGAAGGACTATCTGAGAAGTCTCCTATCCCGCATCTCAAAATTGTTCCCCAGCCCCACCCTTGTCAGGTGAACTTTTCTC